ATAACAACTTATACATCTTAGTACACAAAAACTACTGATTGGATTTTAATGAAACTTTACAATAATATAGTTCATACATGCCAAAAACAAATCAGCTACTTTTCATCACGGAAAATTAAAGAATTTCCGTGGGATAGTCAAAAAACTATAGTAACTTATACAGCTTAGTACACAAAAACCACTGATTGGATTTTGATGAAACTTTACAATAATATAGTTCATACATCAGAATAACAAATAGGTAATTTTTTATCCCGGAAAAATGTACTTTTCCCGTGGGATAGATGTTTTTGTTTATTTGTAATGTATTATGTACACAACATAGACCCCAAAACAATAGTTATTAAAAAAATTGTCTGTTTGTCTATTTGCCTGTATGTCTGTTTGTCTGTTTTTGTGTGCGCGTTTCACGCGAAAAGTAATGTACCAATTTCAACGAAATTTGGTGAAGTGATAACTTATTAGTCGAGTCAACATTTAGGGTACCTTTTGTATGTATGTATGTATGTATGTATGTTGTATTCAGCCCTTTTTAACACACGCACGGGCGTCCCTTCAGTACGAGGTGGATCAGGCCATAGTCCACCGCGCTGGCTAATATCAGAGGTGCTAGACCCGAGATTTGAACTTGCTTCACTCGGTTTCCCAAGCGAGCGCGTTACCATTGGGATACCACTGCCTACATACGTTTTACTTAAAGAAAATCTTTCTTTCCCACGGGAAAATACAATAACTGGTTCTATCGAATTGTCCTTAGAAATTTATATGGCTAACGTTGGCTCAACCTTAAGAGATAGATCAAAACATTGTACAAGAAAATTGTAAGTCTTAAAAAGGTCTATAGAAAAGTTCTACATAGTATATGTCTATCTCCTAAAGTACACTCGCTATAACTATTTTCATTATTATATATTTCTGTTTTATTAAACGTTATTTATTCTATCTGAGTATAGGAACATAATATATGAATAATAAAACTGTAGAGGTCGAATGTCTGTACATAGATGGTAGAAAAAATTGCTAAAAAACGAGTCAGTTCTCTTCTTACATCCCGTAAGGAAAAAAATAGAACAAATCCAGATTTTTTTCAATTTTTTTGTTTCTCTGTCTGTTTGTCTGTTCGTACGGGCTAATCTCCGATACTATTAAACCTATTTAAATGAAATTCGATACTTTTCATTCCGGAAAATTAAAGAGTTCCCGTGGGATAGTTAAAAAATTATTGTAACTTATACAGCTCAGTACACAACAACTTATGCACCTAATTTAGTAAAATTTGGCATGCTGATATTGCAGGTTAAACAACAGGTTACTTATTTTTATCTGGTAAAAATGAACGGTTCCCGTGGGATAGATCTGTTTGTGCTTTTCTAGAGGTGAACCCGAGCGAAGCGAGGGTGAGCCGCTAGTATATATATATATATTAACTAAAAGAAGAAAACTCTAAGTGGCTTTATTTTAATACACATTGTTTTTTACCTTAATTTGTCTCATGAAATGCTGTTGTTTTCTCAATAAATAAATATATTAACGTGAAAGTTTGTGGAAGGTGATGTGAAACGTAAAATAATGTATGACAATATATATTTTGTTATATACACTTTATATTCATATAGATTTTACATCAGACTAACACAGACTATAATTTATAAGCATATGTATATATAAATACACTACGTGGGTAGAGCCGCGTGAAAGCTTCCTATTTAATGGTACGACTTGGTAGTAGACTCATGACGTTCAGTAAAAAATTGTAATTATTTATTGCTGAATAAAATATTTTGAATTTTTGAATTTTTAGGCATAGAATTTTTGCAATTGGAATTAATGTTTTGTAAATCTTTGTAATATTACTACACTGCTTGTTAGATGTAGGGAGTATGTTTTTTTATTAATCAGACCGTGATACGCATTTCAATGATCTAAAATAAATCGGTACGAGAAATAATTTTATTATTTTATTTTATTTATGTGCATAAGTAGGTTGCGACCTAATAGTATGATGGGTTAATTTTAATCAGCGTTGCGTTTCATTATGACCACACAACAGCACACAACAGCTAAACTAAAATATAATTTATATTATAACATCAACTAAAACCATGATAATTTAAATCATATTAAGAAACATTATATATAAGGTATAATAATATAACAAAAAATTAAATAAAAGATGTAAGTATAAGAAGCAAAACGTAAAAGGTGAACAATAAATCTTTCTGCCAACCGCAAAAGGAAAGACCGTGTAGTTAAAGTTTTTTTATCCTACATGGACCCATTGTTATCCCAGAGAAATGGTGTTTATATAATGACTTCTCCATTGAATTATTGTTATAATTACTTACACACTTGAATTAAAATTTATATATCTCATACTAGCATTGCCCGCGGCTCCGTCCGCGTTCAGATTACCAAAAACCAAATTCTTAGGTTTTACATATTAGTATACTCTTACAATGCAGTTTTTGTATTTTTTCTCAGAAATGAGACATTTTCCCGCGGTAAAAAGTATCCTATATGTTGACCCGGACAACCAGCTATCATCATACCAAGTTTCATCAAAATCCCTACAGTGGTTTTTCCGTGACAGACAGACAAAAATTCTAAAAACTATAGATTCGGCCTCTGTATCGATTATAATGTCTATTTCAATAAGATTTTCCAAAAAATATTTAATGTACAGATTCGACTTAGTTACAATTTTATTATATGTATAGATAACAAAAGTAAGATTACTTTTTGTTAATAACACAACTTTCAATTTCTATGTCCTCGGTTGTTTCTATCTATAGTTGGAGATATAAAAATCTACGTCATTTTAAATAAAACTATCTTTTCGGATTTTGTCGCGGATTTATTTGCATTTTTATTTCCCGACGTTTCGAATGCTTTACAGCATCCATGGTCACGGGAGAGAGTAAAATATTGTGTTAATTATTTATATTTTTCTTTATGGTTATAAATATAATAATGGCAACACTAAATATAGATTACTAATTCATATTTTAAAATTGTAATAATTATAAAAATAATAGCAAAAATCAAATAAATAATATTCCATATTCAATTATAATTAAAATTATAAAAATGTTTAAAGTTAAAAAATATTGTAATGTAATTGGTGCAATTTTCATTTTGTTAATTGTGGGTAGGCTGTCTGTAACAACTATACATTCAAGACATGTAACACCTCAGTCTCTCCCGTGACCATGAATGCTGTAAAGCATTCGATACGTCGGGAAACAAAAATGCAAATAAATCCGCGACAAAATCCGAAAAGATAGTTTTATTTAAAATGTCAAATATTCGCGTAAATCTAAGAAAGTATTATAATCTACGTCATGTACATCAACATCTAGTTTTTTTTTTGATTTGATTCTGATTTCTAAAATTACTTCAAAAATTGATTAGTATCCGGTATCCTATTGTTTACTTATAAATTATATTTACTAGAAATCTGTATTGTATGGGTGATCATTGAATTTAGTGTTGGAATATTTTCTTCATGTTATATTAAGAATATATTTTTTCCGCAAAATTATCGAACTCATGAAGACATACATACTATTTAATATTAATATTATTTTTAGAATCATGATAATATTTGACTGTAAACCATATATATACAAGTCACTTATCTAAAAAATGATTGAAAAAATACTGAAAAAAAAAAATTGGTGTCTTTAGAATGATAACTAATAATTATTTGTCTAGCGTTTTAAAAATTGTCTTTTTCCCACTTATTTTTATGAAATTGGACTTCGTCCAAGCGATATAATAGTTACACACGCTGGCAACTTTAGGTATATAATTAGAGAATGTACACGTTGCTCATTGAAATCCAGTGGAAACCCCAATACGTTATTTCGACTTACTAAAATATAATGCAGCAAAATTTCAGTTAGGCATTATACTAAAATTAAATTTATTATTATTCCTAACTAAAATGTGTGCTACCAAATTGTGGCTTATAGATAAACGTGGGTGTGAGGTTTTGTTTGAACTACTACTAAAATATGTACATTTATTAGCTTTTTCGCTGATCAGCTTTTCTTCATGACTGGTGTCTGTCGCGTATTCTAACACATCTCTTACATATATTTATTAAATTGTAAGCCAGTCAGACTATTATATTTGAAACTAGCATTGCCCGCGTTCAGATATCCAAGAACCAAATTCTTAGGTTTTACATATTAGTATACTCTTACATATACCAATTTCATTGGCGGTGATTGACATCCCTCCAGTTGTTTTTCAGTGATGCGGTAACAGACAGACAGAAAAAAATTCTACAAACTCTAGATTCGGCCTCTGTATCGATAATAATGTATATTTCAATAAGATTTTCAAAAATATATTTTATGTACAGATTTGACACAGAATTTTATTATACATACATATGTTATAGATAATGCTTTTTCACGTTTGAGCGCAACACAAGATCTTAAGCTATTCTTAATAATAAGAACACTAAAATTTTGATTACAGTCTATCTTATTGTTCAAGATTTTTTGCTAATAATGATATTTAATTATGTTAGCAAAGTAAATAAATTACGTTTGCCTAACTCGTTTTGTTTCGTATTTTTAAACCCGATTAAGACGCTTAGAGCTGTCTTTATAGTCTTGCAAGAAAGTTTAATCCGAGGACTAATTCCATTCTGCACCGCCTAAATCCTGTCTTAAGTGCTCCAGATTTTAAGGTACTCTTAGGTACAGCACAAGAGATTTTAAACAACTTTCTAATTGCGTATAATTGGTTTTTGGTCCCCGAGCTTTTCTTCGTTTCCCCAGTTTTTCGTGTTTCGAAACATTTACAGAACACTTTTGTACGTATTTCTTACTACGGTACTTTTTATAAATTCTAACCTCTAAATTACAGTCATTATTTATATTACATAGTTAAAAATGAAAGCAAAATTAATTTTAGAGATATAAAAGTGACTCAGATTTTTTGTAACTTTGTTATATAAAATATTATAAATATGCATTTTGTTTTAGGTATCCTGGATCCGTAAAAGAGACCTACATATTCTAACTGTGGGAGTGCATACATATAGTAGCGATGCCCGGTTTGCGGCGTTACATGCGGACGGCTCGGACGAGTGGACGCTACGTGTGGCGCCGGCTCAACCGCGAGACTCTGGAGTCTACGAATGCCAAGTATCTACTGAGCCTAAAATCAGCCTGTCCTTTCGACTCACCGTTGTCGGTAATTTATGTTTTTAAATTTTTATTTTTATGATTAAATTAACTAAAACCTTAATCTCTATTCTCTATCGTAATCTAGCCCAATCCGAATCCGTTTATTTTAAAGAGAAAAAATATATATTGAAAACCTGAAGTTTTATGATTTTAACATATTAGCAGGTATATAAGGAATAAAAATTCGTAAAATGCCCCGCATGCTCACCTACCCCCGAGAAATGGGAGGACGCAAAGCGTTGAAAAATAGTTTTTTTTCAATTTCCGGCTTACTGTGACGTTCTATCGAAAAATATTTTCTACAAAAGTTGTAGGTCTAGTAAAAACTTCAAATTCTCAATGATATTTAAAAAAAAATGTAGTTTACAAAGTAAAAATTATCGATTTCTCCAATTTTTAAAATTTTTAAGGGAGCTGGGCATGTGGGGTATTTTACGAATTTCTATTCCTTATATACCTGCTAACATTTTAAAATCATAAAACTTCCAGGTTTCCAATATTTTGTTCCCAAACCGGATTCCGATTGGACTAATCATGATTGCTGTAAAGTATTCGAAATGTCGGGGACCAAAAATTACATAAAAATATGCGGAAAGATAGTTTTATTTAAAAAGACTCTTAATATTATGTTTGTAAAGTGCATTACGACTAACGAGTAATGATAAGAACGAATTAATAGTATAAAATTATATTTGAATGAATGAATGGACAAATTATTTTATCTCAATGACAATTGATAAATATTATGTATTCTATAACTTTTTTCAATTTTTAAATAATTTGTTTCGATTTGAATATACCTAGGTACTTTATTATTATTGAAAAGTTACACATATTTTATAAAAAAAACTTATTTTATACGGTGAAGGAAAACATCGTGAGGAAACCTGCATGTCTGAGAGAACTTAGCAAGTTTTCGAAAGACATGATCAGTCCGCCAACCCGCACTTGTCCAGCGTGGTGGACTATGGCCTGATCCCCCTCGTATGTAAGGGAGGCCCGTGCCCAGCAGTGGGACGTTAAAAAAAGGGCTGAATACATACTTATTTTATTGCACCTTCACTTAAGTATATTCTAATATAACTAACGTTTTTTTTTGAGAACGAATGAAATTCAGATGGAATGATTAAAATGTGATAATGTCCATAGTGTCGAAAGCTGAAATTTTATCTGGACCGGAGCTGTTCGTGAGAGCAGGGTCGGATATCAATCTCACTTGCGTCGCAAAACACGCCCCGGATCCGCCGAGGTAAGCACAGATTACTTTACACATCTTAATCCTTATTCTCAGTTGCGTCAGTATAAATAAAAATATGGTAGGTAATAAAGTTTATCATTTTATTAACTAATTTGTAAAACGCATGTTAAATGATAATCTATACATATAATAAAATTGTTACTAAGCCGAATCTGTACATTAAGTATTTTTTGGGAAATCTTATTGAAATAGACATTATTATATTGATACAGAGGCCGAATCTATAGCTTTTTGAATTTTTGTCTGTATGTCTGTCTGTCTGTCTATCTGTCTGTCTGTTACCGCATCACGAGAAAATCACTGGATAGATTTTGATGAAATTTGGTATGATGACAGCTGGTTATCAGGGTCAACATATAGGATACTTTTTACCGCGGGAAAATATCTCATTTCTGAGAAAAAATACAAAAACTGCATTGTAAGAATATACTAATATGTAAAACCTAAGAATTTGGTTTTTGGTCATCTGAACGTGGGCGGGGCCGCGGGCAATGCTAGTAAAATATATAAATCTGTATAATATATGATAGCTAGGTGAATATTATTTCAAATCAAAGGTGAAATGTATAGATGAGAATGTAAGATGTTACATACACAAATAAAAATGGATGTATTTCGCATCACTTGTAGCGTAGCGTTTGTCTTTGTTTAGTACTAAAAAATTTAAGGCTACTTATCAGAGTTTCGCGGTTGCAATTTTTGTGTCCCAGCGCAATAAAGTACAACTGTGCTTTATAGCTATAAATGAAAATAACATAAAAGCACAAATTCTTTTTTGATAAATATTTTATTGAGATCTTATATTATATTTAATTATTTTGCTGGCGTATTCCAGTCTTTTCTTGGCTATATAGATAAAACTCAACTGCCTTTGTCATTTGCTACGTGCTGCTCAATAAATTATCTTTAATATTTCTTAGTAGTAGTAGAAATTTTACATAATTTGTATGAAGTTATCCGATCCGCTGTAAGTCTGTAACACTATATTACATGACCACAGTCACCTAATTCGTATATATAAGAGCGATTACATGATAAAAAGACAGATAAAAATCTAAATTTTCTCGAAAAATTTCTTCAATCTTTTAAAAAAAATTTCGAATCGTTTGAGTGAAATGCATTGAAAGGTTTTCTTTCAAGGAGATTTTTCGTTCTTTGAGTAAAATAGCTTTTCAAAGATTTGCTAAATTATTAAATCCAAAATTTCAAAGGTCAAAGCTATTCTATTGATAAATATTTATTTGATGTATGTAACCTTCGCATCTTTATGACACGACGCTTTTATATATTCTACTAGCGGCTCACCCTCGCTTCGCTCGGGTTCGTCGCTAGGTACGTTTTAAATAGATATAAAAAGAAAAAATCTTTCTTTCTCACATTTTAATTATATGTTTTAATACTTACCTATTCCGGACTAAGAGAAATCCAAAAATTAAAATATCATAAAAATTGGAACGCGGTCGAACGGGATAAAAAGTATCCTATGTCCTTCTCCTGGCTCTAAACTACCTCCCTGCCAATTTTCAGCTAAATCGGTTCAGCCGTTCTTGAGTTATAAGCGAAGTAACTAACACGACTTTCTTTTATATATATAGATTTTAAAGCATTCATTTTAAGTTTATATTACATTATATTAAGAAAATATTTGATTTAATAGATTTTTATATGTATAGCAAATGTTGATCTGTTTGAAATGACCCTTAACTGTTCTTGCTATCTAGTTATACATTAACATGTATTTTTGCATAATAAATAGTTCTTAAAACTAATATATATCAATTAGTCTTGAACACGTATTCTTCTCTGTATAATATACTATTTTATTTAACAAAAAAAGTGAAATATCAAATAAACTTAGTAACTTAATTAATTAACAAAACAAATGTACACAATATAAATACTATAAAGTCATGTCCGCGTAGATTGTGGCAAGAAAGCTAGCAGCATTCGTACGCTGAAGCCTGAATAGCCAATGTTTTAGGCACTTCTCTGTGCCTTACACGAACAAATGAGTGCAGCTGTAACTTTACATTTACTGAAACCATTAAATCAAAATTCAGCCGATTTTATGTTGCTTAATTTTATTATTATACTATATTTATACTATTATTTGTACAGTAAAAGTGCTCTCGCCATCGTCACAATTTTATTATAATATACATATATCAAAAATGTATGTAGCAGCTGTGTCACGTGTTTTAAGTATGTGTTAGTCTATAAGTCCATTATAATAACCTTGAAGAATCAATTATTTATGTTGATCGCCTTCCATATATATATATATATATATATATATATATATATATATATGTACATGCTTTTTACTATCTATACGTCATATATGGTATAATTTAAATGAGTAAGCTTTTTCGAAAAATACGTCCTGTGCCTTCTCCCCTGTCACTTCATATCTGAAAGCACCTCCCAATTTTGAAATCGGTTAAAAATAAGCATCAATACACAACCGTATTTTATATAGTTTTGTGTTAAAAACTCATTGTAAGTTCTCCATCATTGGATTACACATGTGTGAACAGAATTATCTCATCAGTCTAAAAGGGTTGCTTGCATCAGATATAGCTTTTACATAATGAAGGGTGAGCAGAGATAGGCAGCAATATTACGATTGCATTTAATACTTTAATTATTAAGAATCATGTTCAAAATTTTTAACTTTATTATAGGTCTACAGATTTATTTATATCATATTTTTTAGGCTGACCCTATTGATACAGTAACTGTCTATTAACTATTAACTGTATGACTAATATTATTTTTCTTAGTCAGGTTATTGATTATTAATATATATTATATATATATACATAATCGAAAATTAAAACTTATAAATAGATAATCTTTTAACCAGATGCTTAAATATAAAAAAAAAATTAGCTGAATAATTAATTATATATTAATCATACAGTAACTGGATTATTAGTCACTTTCTATTTCTTAAGAGTGTAAATTTATTAATAGTTCATAATCCCTTATCAATTTCTGGAGGGTGGGTACATTTGGTTTGATTTTTGGTGCCAAATATTTTCTATATAAATTAATGATGTTACAATCTAAACGAGAGCGCTGTATTGCGTCTTGGACACCGACATATGCAAGGCAAGGTAAAACAAAGTAAATGCTCGACTTCACAGTATGTTATCAATATAACATCATCAATAGTGCTTAGTCTTACTCTTATTTAAATTAAAATAGATATTATATTTATTAAGAAAGATGATAATATAAAATTTGTTTATTATTTCTTAGTCCGCTTTTCTTTTACGAAACTATTCAGCCACGTAGTCATAAAAAACACGTACGTACTAAGCACCTTATATAAAGCACGACACTTATTTTTATATTTTATCGCTTGTTCTTATGATGTACATATCAAAGTACCTACAAATTTTATGGTTTGCGGCCGCAAATGTCGATGTCAAAATGATGGGTTTGATTGGACTGTCCCTGCCGGTAATATAGTTAACTAGCACTACCCACGGGACTCCGCCTGCGTTCAGATGACCGAAAATCAAATTCTTAGGTTTTATATATTAGTATACTCTTACTTTGCAATTTTGTATTTTTTCTCAGAAATGAGATATTTTCCCGCGGTTAAAAGTATCCTATATGTTGACCCGGATAAACAGCTCGATCAAATTAAAATCAAATCGAGAATAATGTTTATTTCAATAAGATTTTCCAAAAAATATCTAATGTACAGATTCGGCTTAGTTACAATTTTATTATATGTATAGATAAAGACAAAATAATTCACAGTATATAAATCTATAGTAAAATATGATAATATTATTATTCAGAGTAAAACTGTTACACTCCCCTAGACTTTTATAAGACTTAAATTCACTTAGCCATTTGGTCGCTTTCAAAGAGCCTTGATCGACGTATATTATGTAGATTGACCGTGCCCTTCAGTAAATATTTTAGCCAGTACCTACTTTCACTATAATATTATGTTAAAATTATGGCTGAAGTTAACCAATAATAATTTCGAGTATTTAAATAATTTCATACAGCATGGCTGTAGTATAATAAATATATACAATGTATAATAATAGATAGTAGGGTTATTACAATTATCTATAAATATAATAAAATTCTTAGTCGAATCTGTACATTAAATGTTTTCAATTTTTTTTTTGGATAATTATCAAAATATGATAATTTTCTACCTTATTCTAATACCTTACTAATTGCGCTATACAAATCTATTTTTGTAATTGATCAAAACCATTTATTTATTTTTTTATGATTTTTTAAGTCATCAATCTAAATATGTCAAATTTTAAATGCTATTCCCCACAAAATTGTAATTTTGAGTTAATTCAGTTTATGAATAAAGGTGGGATATGTATTTTTCTTTCTGCTATGTCTTACATATTTACATAGATATTTACCACAGATGAATGTTTCTATATAAATGTAAATACTGTATGTTTTCGTTTTCATAAGGAATTGAACATGCAACCTTTGTACAAGAAACTCAAATATTGATCATTGCCTCAAGTGACTTAACCACTCTGATTTTTTATTCAAAGAGTATATTAAAAATTCATTTTTATTAATATTGAAATAAATTTTCCTTATATTTTTCTATATTATAAAACCGAATCGAGGTAAAATAATAAATAAATTCATAACCACCGCCAATAACCACACAGTATCGTTTTAATAAGTATATGTATATTTTTTCACACGGCCTATTTATGCCCACATTCATAAACATGATAAGCTTATTTTCTGATAAAAGGGTCGGTCGAGGTCTCTAAGTGAGGCATTCTTTGCGTATCAACATTTAATGGTAGCATGTGCCCGAGATCTTCCAACGAGGGACTTTCAATTTGAATATTGATGGGGTGATACGTTCCGTGGAGAACCAAGGTTGCTATGTGGGTTGCCTCATGAGTTATACATATAGTATTTTAAGTTGCTCTTTCATTAAATATTCTTAAAAGTATGGGTGTTCAGTATGCGGTTGCTGTCAGATAATTTTATATAATTTTTTTCTCTTTTATAAGTGTCAAAATTTAAGAAAAAAAACTGTTGTGATGTTTTATATTCATCAACTTTAATAATTCGTCCGTATTTTTGTGGTTATTTTCACTAATTGTGAATCGATTTTCTTAATTTTTTTTAATTAAAAAAAAGTTTATGAAAAAAGGCCGTCCGTAAGTTACTTTTTAAATTATTGTGATTACGATTCACCTTGTTTGCAACACAAAGTGCAACGATAGTACCCACCCACGCATTGTCATCATTCATAAAGAAGTAGTTAATTCTAAATCTAATTAACCCTTTATACATTCATACATACACACCAGGGTGGGCCATTTTTTAGTAAAATTATATAATATTACTAGCGACTCGCCCTCGCTCCGCTCGGGTTCGTCCCTAGTTGCTTAAAAAATGGGGAGTGGGGGTAGGAGGGTGAAAAATACTTTACAATCTAGTCTGACACCTACCAAAATTATACAAAAAATCACTAAAATCAGTCGAGCCGTTACGGAGGAGTGCAACCACTAACACCGTGACACGAGATATTTATATTATATTAGATGCGTTTAATTCATAAATATTATTCAATTATTTGAAGTGGGACAGCCCACCCAAAACCGTTAACATTAAAAAAAATGCTTGATTGGCACGATATTACATCATATGTTAAATATCATTTTTAATCTAGTTTTAATATCCTAATTCAAGATTTATGGCCAAATAGTTTAAATTCACTATTTTAACAAATAAATTTAGTAGAGTCTCTCCAGTGACCATGATTGCTGTAAAGCATTTGAAATGTCAGGATATAAATATATTGTTGAGACGGGTAGGTACAAAAAAAAATACATCTACTAATAGTATGATTTGTGGAAGGCCTCTATCTATTGATATATACAATGTAAGAAACGGACTGGCTGACTTATTCACTGACTGATCAATCAACGCACAGCAGTGTGCACTAAGAAGGGGTTTTTGGAAATTCATCTCCTAAGGGGTTAAAATAGGGGTTGAAATTTTGTATGAAACTTCGTCAGTTTTGAAGTTAAAAATGTAAAAAATAATATATGGACACTCAGAGAAAAAATTTATACCGATTGATCGTCCGATTGATCGACCGATTGCCCGACCAATTAATCGACCAACTAATCGATCGACAGATCGTTAGAGTGTACCACCCAAATATACACACACGCACATACCACGGAAATATGCCAAGAAAGAGATTAAAACCAGTGAAATAAACGCGGAATGTCGTGAGCATAAACTTGTAGCAAAAATAATTGTATTTACCGCGACTGAATAACAACGAGAAATTCATTCGTAAAATTCGAGTTTTTGTATTTAATTGCTATCAGTTTGTGTTCAGTAAAACCATAACGATGAACTAATTGGCTGTAATTATCGAAATTATGTATTGTGTCTACAAATTAATAATGACATATATATCCAATAAACTGTACATAATATAGGCTTTTAAAACAAGCGTTGTTTTATAATATAGCCCAGTGGTAACGCGATCGCTTGGGAAACCGAGTGAAACAGGTTCAAATCCCGGGTCTCGCACCTCTGATATTTTCATGTGCGAATCATTTCTAACATGATTACCACATGCCTTACGGTGAAGAAAATATCGTGAGGAAACCTGCATGTCTAAGAGAACTTAGCAAGTTTTCGAAAGACATGTGAAGTCCGCCAACTCGCACTTGGCCAGCGTGGTGGACTATGGCCTGATTCCCCTCGTACTGAAGGGAGGCCCGTGCCCAGCAGTGGGACGATAAAAAGGGCTTAATACACTTTCTTAGATTTACGCAAAAATTTGACATTTTAAATAAAACTATCTTTTAGACTGAGAGAGTCTCTCCCGTGACCATGAATGCTGTAAAGCATTCGATACGTCAGGAACCAAAAATCCAAATAAATCCGCGAAAAAATCCGAAAAGATAGTTTTATTTAAGCGTTGTTTAATAAATGAATATAAGATCAATAAAAATATACAGTTATACCCGAGACGAGTATTAAAAATAACTTTATCCAGTATTCAAAAAATCAAGGTAGCACATCCCATACACCTTAACGAATTTTCACATACATTTCTAATCTCAATGCCAGTTTTTGCGATATATTTTGCGGTATCAAAAGTGTTTAATATTCACAATGTTCTCTCACTTCTGATTCAGACTTGATGATTAGTTCGAGCACATATTTGGACAAAAATAATTGATCAAGCATCATTGGACTACTTATGCAAACCATAAATAATTCCTTTTATATATATATTCTCATAGAGTAATGTAAAACGATATAAAAATATATATTTTAGCGCACTTTATTGTTTAAATGTTAACAATTATACATAAAATTAAGACTACCTGGTTAAATATGGACGACACGTTTGGCTCAGTTTGTAGAACCCTACTTGCTGTGCCAGGGGTCGCGGGTTCTAGTCCCGCTGGGGGCATTCATTTGTGTGATGACGAATGTTTGTACTCCAGTCATGGGTGTTTATATTTATAATATGTATGTATTTAAAGTTATATATATGTAGTGTATCAACTATCTGGTATCCATAATGATGATAACTTATTAATTTTTACAATTCAAAGTTAACATTAAGTTTTTATTGCAGTTTTATATATTGGTATCGGGGTGAACAAGTAGTGAATTACGCCCAGCGCGGCGGCATAAGTGTCGAGACTGAGCAGCGCACGCGCACCAGCCGCCTACTAATAGCACGGGCAGCCCCTCACGACTCTGGCAACTACACTTGTGCCCCAAGCAGCTCTGGTACGTTGGTTTTGTTAAATCTAAAAAAAATCTAAATTTTACACATTAAAGTATATTTTATTTGAATCATATTGTCGACTTTAAACTATAATATGTCATTTTTCATATAATTATAGCATGTCATTTTAAAATAGTTGTCTACTGCTTTGTTAATTTTAGTTCATATCTTTCGTTAATATTAGTTTTAGTCTTATATACATATATTTGAAATATTTTACATGAAGTATATAAGATAAATGTAATTAAGCTACCTAATAAATACTATTTTTAGTACTCACTCACATATTACTATGGTAATATATAATTAAATAGCAACATATCATCGGCATATAAATAATATATTTATTATTTTACATATTCATGTTATAATTAATGACATTTTAAGAGGCAAACGATGCTCAGTGCTCATTTCGTCATTTAAGTCAGACTACTACCCGGTAACAATTCAACCGTTTTGCTTTCATCTCAGTATTTAGGATCGCAATTTGCATCTGACGGTAAATTGAGCTGCACATAGGTAAATTGAATGCCGCTAACACGCAATGCGGATACAACATGTGGGTAGGAAATTCACTAAACCTAAATACTGAATTACTACTGTTATCTCGAATTTAGATTGCACATTTTAAAGGCAACTTTACTTAGATCACACTATGAGCAAAGATAAAAAAATATATTATTATGTTTCTATTTACTGGGAGTGAGTTCGTGTTGCTACACACCTATTAAAACAACACATGGGGGTGTACGTGCCGTATCTCTCGTCTATGCCATCTTCTCTTAGTACTTAAGTGTGTCTAGCACATGTTTTACTTAATGATTGGCCTCAAAAAAACTTAAACATAAGCTGGAAATACTTTAGAAACCTAACATACAATAAACAAACTATAAAAGAATAGAACATACATCCATACTAATATTATAAATGTGAAAGTGTGTTTGTTTGTCTTTCTTTCACGTTGAATCGGAGTGACAGATTGGCGTGATTTTTTGTGTGGAGATAGTTGGAGGACTGGGGAGTGACATAGGCATCATTTTACCACGGGAGATTATCTAATTCCCAAGGGAAACACGTTATAATACAAGCCAAAAAAATATGTATCATCAGAATTACTTGAAACTTGGTATTAATGCTCTTCAACATAATTAAATAAATACTTGTTTCAGCATTTTTCCAAATTCATCCCATAAGGGGGTAAAATTAGGAATGAAAGTTTATATGAAACCTACCTTTTTAGATTTTTTTGTTGTAGTTTTAGCGCGAGCGAAGACGCGGATTCTGCTAGTATAACATAAATGACAATTAAATGTAATATTTTCCTAATAGATATCTCATTCCCTATAAATACAAATTTACGTTACAAGTTATATTCTAATTTTTTTCAATTCATTTAAAGCAATTAGAGAGTAAAATACAATTAATTCACCGACCGCAGTATCTGTTGTAAATTACGAAATTTTCAATTTAAATGTATCATTAATATAAAATGATTCAGAGTGGCTTCATATTAGCCAGGTTAAGTTATTGTTAAAAGTTTAAATTCGTTGGAGTCCATCAAATTTGTTAAAGTGGAAAAGTAATGAAGAAGTTTAAACCACCTGAGACTTAAAGCGCTCAAATACTTACATTACACATGAAAATATTTATTACTCAGATAGATATACAGAATGCTTTCTATTAGGAAAGTTTATTTTGAAATATTAAAAATTTACATTATTTTTGATGTACATATACACATATAGTTTAAGTATATGTTTATAGTTTAAAGAAAAAATGAATTCTTATTCCAATTTTTTGTCTATTATATCTAAGGCACGGTATACACGCATTAATTGGTAGTGCCTTACTTTCATTAAGATGTACAATTTGTTTGTGCGAACAAAGCGAATGTGTTAATTGGCATACGAGTATGTATTATATATATATATATATATGGAACTACTAAAATTATCCTAAAAATTATTATACTTATAGGAATAACACTTAGTAACGACTATAAAAAACAAATTTTTATTCACGTGGTAGGATAAAATTTAATATATTCAGACTCATTCAAATAAATCGAATCCAATAATAGTAGGTAGTCAAATAATTAACAAGATTTTTCAATTATACTGTTATAATAGCAGCAGTAAAGTATATTTAAATGGTTAGTTAATTAAATACACGAAATAAAATTTCAAATTACAAGTTTTAAGTACAAAGTAATTTAAATCATCATTTTCTCTTCAACGCATGTAATAGCCTAATTTTAAACTACCTTATAATATTTTTTTACATATAACTTATAATATATATATATATATATATATATATATATATATATATATATATATATATATATATATATATATATAATAGCTATAATATATATAATAATAGAATAGAATTATCAATAATTAATTATAAGTAATAATAATAGTTTTAACAGCACTGAACTTTATCGTAATCGAAAACTACCTAACAAATACGTCACATGGAACTCACCGGTTAGAAAAGCCAGTACTACCCACTAAAACCCAACGGAACCACTCCAGTATTAATGAGTGGACTACCTTTCAGTGTGTCTCTAAGTTTCACGCCGGACTGGATTGCCGGACGCTAATGAACCAAGCCTAACCACGACATGGTGAACACACATAGGGGAGCAACGGGATATATGTACCTAATCTTATGTACATACGTGTACATACATATATATGTAACCTATGAACTACTCATTCTGTCCCGAAAAGCACTCAAAACTTTTAAACTGCTGTATAGACATTCAAATATTTAATCCAAGATCCATCTTGAGCAAACAAAGTTTCTTCAATAAACCAATCCATTTGGGAGTTATGATGTCATAAATACTTAAACTAGTAGATACAGATATAGCCGTTTATTAATAATTATCATTATTAATGACACAAACTTACTGACGAACGAATTTGTTGTATTCAAATAAATTAAATTCAAGTAAATCAAATCAACCACTTTATTGCGAACTTCTGTTAGTACATACAAATGATTATGATAATAATATATTAAATGTTCAGCCAAATTCAGACCTACAGCATGCAATAATTCAATAATTAATAATTAATTACAATACCTATATATCATATAGGGTTAAATATTTTAAATGGATATTAGTGTTTTAATAAAGAAATTATTTTGCGCAGAATCTGCCTCGGTTATAGTTCATGTCTTGAGCGGGGAGCGACCGGCAGCCATGCAGAGCTCCAGCCCACCGCCACCTCGTCTGAGTCCCACCGTCATAGCGACTATTGCCACCGCCTCCACGGTCCATCGACGAACAAGTTGGCTGCCTGTCACCATCTCTATCCTCATCTACCAGCTTACCTCAATCTTCCTTATCATCGTTATCTTTTTTACTAATATAGTTATCCAATTTATCATTCATAATACTTTGGGGTATCCCACTCTACGTTCTTCGAGATGACCAATTACGGAGTAACTTATTAAGATAATGGATGTAACTATAATACAATTATATAAATAAGACGCTTTATGTAAGCTAATACAATTAATATGTTTAAGTAATAAAATATATTTAAAAAAAAACAACGACTCTACGATAGATAATGATCTCTTTAGGGTTTTTTTAAAATTTGTAGCCACGTAATATTTCTTTCATAAAACAACATTTTAAATGATATTTTCCTACAAAAAATCAGAAACGTGTAATTAAAATTTATTACGGCCATCGCAGAAGATAAAAGGAAATCTGGGCATTTAAAATACCAACTATACCTACAGTATTGTAAATACTTTAATATGAATAACATTGTTTGTTTAGAATGATGTTAATTCCATGTTCTATTTCGTCGCTATTCTCTTTCATTTTCCTAGCTAGCTACTTATTTTAATCCTGTAGCGCGATTAAGAACAAATCGATTTCGTAATTCTGATCGGACATGAGCGGAGATTCGATAGAACCAAAGAGCTTAAGTCTATGTTTTGTGAATTTAAGCCGTTGGTCGTCTCTTTCCCACGTTATTCGCTTTTATCAAATTAGGTAAATATTACGAAATGAGAAATATATGACTCGCAACAATCACTTAATTGGAAAGAGTAAAAATATCGAATCATCATGTTTTGTACATGTCATGTTCATGTTTTTGTTTGTCACAGAACCGATATTTAGTTTAGCTAGCTATTTTTATGTGTAATAAAATATATTTTAAAAGCTGCTGAGGTATGGAATTAGAAGAGAATTTTTCTCCTTATTTATGTATATCGAAGTGAAATTGTCAAAGACAAAATGAATATTTTCTAAAGCTTATCTTTATATATATAATTCTTCTGTGAGTGTGTATGTCACTGAACTTCTCTCAAACGACTAGACCGATTTTGATGAAATTTTTTGTGTGTGTTCAAGGGGATCTGGGAATGGTTTAGATTCCCAATTTGAATAATAATTTTCATCAATAAAATTATTAAAAAAAGTTTGAAATTTTCAAATTAAAGACGTGTAGACAGGACAACGTCTGTCGGGTCCGCTAGTAAATTATAAAATGAAGTGCTTAGTAAAGATGCTAAGCAATATCGAGTTTATATAAGCTTGATACATTAGTTTGCTGTGAAAATGACAACGTTAACAATTTTCTATCTGAAATTGCTCCCAGTATCGAGTAGAAACTGTGCAGTAGATTACGTACCAGTTTATACAATCTATGCAACGAGGGTGGAACCTCGAGTGCTTTGTAAAGATACTCGTTTGTTTCTAGAACATGAGAAACAGTTGACATCTGAAGTTGTTTTGTATGAATCAATGTACCACACACTCCATATAATATAATGCTAAAAATAAATATAATAATTTTTTTTCTACAGTATAAAATATACCTTCTCTTTAAATTTTAACTTTTAATTAATATCAGCAAACCAATTATCAGCGAATATATTACTACAAATGCATATATTAAAAATTATATTTTAATTGTACGGTCCAATCGTGTCCATAATTGCAATAATTGTTTTAAAATTGTTTTATAAAGCCCAGGCCTTTATAACCGATACAGTGAATATGCAAGCTTAGAGTGCTTAGCAAAGATACTGACGGAATATACATCAAGTCGCTCCCACTACGGTTGTTTAGTTTCCTCGAAAATCCTCAAAGCTTCCTCGTTTTATATTTATATTTTATTTACACTTCCTTCGTATCGATCGAAATGCGAAATAACATAATAATATAAGCATTATGGAGAAATAATCTGTTTATTTTATAAATGTAAATATTTTTACATTAACATTACTCAGTCTATTCAAATGTTTCTTAATTATTGGTTGGGTCTGTATTGATTATATTATTGCTGTTTATATTAGAATGAATTATCATTGTTGAAATTGTCTAAGACAAATAAAGTTTGTAAAGCTTTTACGTAATTACCGGATTTTTGTGATTTAATTACTCGTAGCCTCTGATAAATAATAATAAATTAATCTATGGTTCGTGTAAATATTATGTAAGGTTTGTAAATAATAAAGTAATATTTGTAAATAGCTGTAAAACTTGTTAAATTTATAATTTTCGACAGTTAAGTATGGAATTAATGGCGTCTTTTAAAGAAAGTAGAAAACAAAAGGGTTGTGTAATAAACTATCAAACGTAGGCGTATTTTAACTATGTTACTTATTGTTTGTAAGAATACTCATAGGAATAAATTATTGATGAGAAAATAAACTTTTGTTTTTATTAAGGACTTGTTCTTTGTATTCGTTCCCTCGTTTCGTTATGACACAGAATATTGATTATTGCATTTAAAATACACAAATGGTAAAACTATTGGATTTTATCTATAAGTATGAAAATTTGTGTATGGTTGTCTGTTTGTTGCAACTTAATGCTTTTCTTAATAAACCTGAAAGGTGACATCAACGTATAGCTTTTCAAAAAAACCGAATCCCAGACACTAAAAAGTAAAAAAAAACTGAACGGATGTTTTCATTTACTGTAGAAACCTAATCAGATATTTTCGAAGTCAGTCAGTCAGTTCAATCATTTTTCAATGTTTATTGTATAGAAGTCAGATTTAAATATATTTTTTCTATATTTAAAATTTGCTTTAGACAGTCATTTGTTTTAAATACTGTGATGATGATGTTCTCCTAGTCGATTCCGGCCACGGCGGCCAATCTCAATGAGATTAGTGCAGGAGATATTATAGTGCACAAGTGTACGCGCAGACACAAGGGCACTCTCTATTCCTATCACTCTCATACTCCGGTGGGACGACCACTCGACACGACCGGTGAGAGTTAAGGCGCAGGACCGACGGCTTTACGTGGGGGTGAAACACCGCAAACTTCCCAACTCCGGGCTGTTACTGAGACTTACTATACAGGAAGACTCAATAACTAAACTTGGCCCGACCCGGGACTCGAACCCAGGACCTCCGGGTGTGCAGCCGTACATGCTAGCCACTACACCACCGAGGCAGTAAATACTGTAAAGTATAGCCTACGAAAGATTGGATTTCATTAACATAATATCATACAAATATAATTTAATTATGATTATTTCAAAATGAAATATGATATAAGTCGTTATTTGCTTATTCAGATAACATGTTGGATATATTATGATTTCATATCGAAACATGCATATTTTAATTTCATTTTCTATGAATAGAGAAAGAATAATATTTTTTTTAATTACTTCTAGCAGGTTACAAAATGAGCAATTTCTATCTCAACTTACTCACAGCATCCGGCAGCATACACTTTGCCTTTTCGTGCAAAATTCTTCCACGCTTTATAGCTACACTATAATATTCAGTATAATGTTTTAAGTACAAGTTTTGAAACTTCTCTCAAGTGAAAACATTATTAAGTAGCTTAAGTGCAAATTATACTTGAAATACTAATATATACCTATTAACAAATATTAATTTAAGTTTAAAATATAATATAATATATCGTAAAATATACTTAGTTAATCTTTAAATACAATAAAAAAAACTTATCTTACTATCAGTAGAAGCTTTAGAATTGTTCTAACATGTTAATAGATAGTTTCTTATATATCAAAAGTATTTTTCTTCTAAATTCAAATTTATTTATAGATGTTTTTAATATAAATTATTTATACACGATCATTATCATTTTCAATTTATACATAATCATCTACTTGAACTTCAGGAAAATATTTCATTATAATAATCTCATTAAAATATCAAGACCACAATCAGACAAAAGAGTTCAAATAACAGTCATTAGAGAAACATAAAGACAAAAGAAATCGTTATATTAAGTAATGTAGGACGGAGCCGGGGAAAGATGAGGACAGAATTGAGGAAAGGGGATAAAAGGAATCGAGCCGTATCTAAATGAAAGGAAACGTAGGAAATAAAATTTTCTGCTTGTAGCTCGTAGACTTGAATATATTATCACGTGTTAAAGATTATTAAAACTTATATTAATAATATTAATGTTTAGTATAATTATTATAAAAAAATCTAAGTATATACGTACATACAATATGGTATCATTATGGTAATTATTTTACTTTTGTAACTGAGTGTCCCATGTCTAATACCTAACATAAGCATCCATAGTTAATATTATAAATGTGAAAGTATGTTTGTTTGTCCTTCTTTCACGTCGAAACGGAGTGACGGATGGGCGTGATTTTTTGTGTGGAGATAGTTGGAGGGCTGGAGAGTGACATAGGCTTCTAGTTACCGCGGGAGATTGTTTGATTCCCGCGGGAAAACACATTATAATACAACCCAACAAAATAGTTCAAACGAATTACTTGAAACTTTGTATTAATGCTCCTTAATACAGTTAAATAAATACGTGTTTTCGCATTTTCCGAAATTCATCCCTTAAGGGGGTATAATAGGGGATGGAAGTTTGTACGAAAAGTACCTTAATAAGTTTTTGTATTGTATTTTATTTATTGTTATATTATATAAAAATTATCCTAAATTAGACTCAATAAAATATCTTTACAAATATTTAAGATTTATAAATCAACGAAAATATATCTACAGAAAGATATCAATCTAAAAACACAAAAATACACTTAAAAAAATTGCACACGGTACATTGTGGGATTAACAAATATTTGACTTGATTGCAACCAATATAAATTTGCACAAGGCGTACATTGTATCAAAAACAAGTTTTAACTACATATACGAATGTAAAATCATTTTTTTGAGCTTTACAAACGAATCAAACAAACGTGTACAATAAAATGCGAAGTTGTAATAAAATGGAAGTAAAATTGTAATAAAACGTAGAAGCTACCTAAAAAATGTTGTTACTAAAGATTATTACATAAACATAAACCAGTACAGTCTCCAAAACGGTTCTGCTTTTTTGTATGTAAATACTCCATTTTACTTTTACAACATGAATAAAAGTATAAATGATAAAGGTATATATTAGTATTTTAAGTAATTATTGAAATCATTATTATTAGCGATT